CGACGGACGTCATCAGCTCGTGCCCATGACGAAGCAATCCTCCTCCTCCTTTTGCCTCCTCCCCGACGACGGTACTGACTGCGCGGGGCGGACCCCGTCGAGTTGTATGGGTCGTCGGGAGACGGACGCGGATACCCCTATTTCAATGTGACGGGGAAGGAAGCGAACAAGGGGCTCGTACAGCCGCCTGAGTACCCGTTGCTTCCGGTCCAACTGGCGCAGACGTACGACCCCCGGGCGGCGTCGGAAGCCAGCGACGAACGCGTCGAGATGCACTGGTTGAGTATAAGACGCGGGGAGCGACGTTCATTCCCTCACGGTCAAGGTACCCACCGAGACCGCCAGCCTTCCCATTCTTGCATCAGCACGGAAGCGGTTTAGGGGAAAACGGAAGAGCCATGAGACGCTATGCACGAAAAGGAGCGAGTGTCCTTGCGCCCTTTCTGCAGATATTGCATCAGGGCGTCACTTTTGCACAACGGCTGCCGTCGAATACTAAAACAACGGATGAAATTGGTGCGACGTGGGGAACTCACACTGGAACACACGCCGCGCATACGTACCTAGGTACTACGCCGCCCTGGCGTGTGAAATGGCTCACACGGAGCACCGGCCAGCCGCACACTCCCAGGCCCGCACGTCATGCTCGGGAAGCGCCCCCTCACGCGGCGCATCCCATTGCGCCCGCAAGAGCCTCCATCCCCATCCGAGTACTGGGCAAGGACCCAGCGCGTCAAAGTTTCCAACCCTGCCCAGATGAGTCCCGGTGCCACGGCACTCCCACGCTGACGGTGCCACGTGAGACGTGAGCAGCGCGGGCTACACGACGGCTCGCGTAAGTACCCCCTCAGTGGGTTCAGTAGTGGAGGTCAAGCAGAAGAGAAACGAACTACGAACGGAAGAGAGTAGGAAGGAAGAACAGGGGGAGCGACCCCACAGCAAGGATTGGAGGGGGGAACAAGGAAAATGCGAGAACTCCTTACGGACTAAGAGGCGTCACCGGCCGTCTCGATGGGCGATGCGTGCGGAGTCAACGATGGGTGCCACTACCACCGTCGGTGGAACCAAGGGCCAAGGGCCGGCGTAAACGATGAATAGGATTCGCTGGGATGTCAAGGAAAGGGGCCGAGACAGTCGACGGAAGAAACGCGTGGGCCATAACGGGAAGGATGGAGATAGCACGCCCAACGAGCAAGGAAGGGAAATGCCGAACGGGGGAGGAAGATATAGAGCAACGAGACTCGGGTCGAAGAGAGAAGCACGAGCCTCCCCACAAGCACCCGTGGACGCGGACGTCCCCGCTTAAGGGGGGGGCCGTGTAGTATAACCCCCCCCCTGGGGCTTTATTTTAGATTAGATCAACTCCGAATCGGATCGGTTACTGTAGGGCTCGATGCTCTACAGTACCACTACGTGTACCCCCGAGTACAGGGGGCGCACGTGTACACGTGTACGCGCGGGACCGAAGAGCGCACACACACACGTGTACTGTCAGCCCCGATGGCTGACAGTATTACAGTGTCGACCGACCGCTACAGTACGTCGCTACAGTACATCGGTACTGTACTATTATGATAGGTTATTATGTACATTAAATATGGAGCGGACCGGCGGCGGTGGAGGAGGACAAGCACGGACTTGTCACCCACCGACCGTCAAGGTCCGACTTCCCGCTTATTCTAAGGTAGCGTTCGCTAACTACCTTAGAGCGGCACCGAGCGCGGGTTGAGGACGCGCGCGGTACGCCCACGAGCCGGCTCCGCCTCCGCCCGTCGGTACTGGATCGTCACCCAGTACCGCGCTGGGGCGTCGAGGCGTCGAACCGCTCGCGCGTACCGGCGTCCTCCCCATTCCCGCTCTACCACGCTACCCGGGCCCGCTGCCCGGTGCCGTTAGCTGGTGTCCCGCTTCACCCCCGTCTTCCCGTTCGGACGGGGTCTACGTCGAGCTGTGCATACACCCCTCTCCGTTGGGGGTGTTTATGCTACACCACCCCCCACATGCACTGACCCTCTCATATGACATGCCGGCGGCGGCACATCCTTCACCATTTTGCACCATTCAACCATCGCCCTAATCGTAATGTGGCCCCGTCCCTCGGCTTCCCAGACGTTCCACGGCTTCGCATCAACCGAGTAGTGTAAACTATACGTCCTCTGCATGCTTTTTCTTCCTCACATTCGCATATCGGCCACTACCCGCGATGAGTCCGAGAAGAAGAGGCACATGTTGCATTTTTTGTGCCGCATGCGGAGCAAAAAACACACGCGCCAATCGCGCGTGTTCCACACACATCCCCGCTCCCGTAAAATCTACTCCATCTCTAAACGGTTCTACTTCACTGTTATCCTTTACTGCGCTCCTTGAATGTTCCACAAGTGGTGCGACAACTCTTCATGCAGCCGTATATGATCCGCTTTGCTCGTGACAAGGACATTTCTCTCTAGCAATGCTGCAAGTCCAGTACTACTCGAGGCGGGCACTTCCTGCTCCACATGTCCAGCATTAACACTTGCTACTACACTCGCCTCAAATACTCCTCCACTATGGAGTTATTGGCGGTGTCCTCCACGGTGGGTTCTTCATTAATATATGTCTTCACAATCATATTGTGGATCTACAATATGATTGTGAAGACATATCATCGATGATAACGCAGACATCGCTGATGAGAATGATCTCTGCGTCGCTCCATTCATGACGTTCTTGTCGGAGGATTTTGAACCGTCCTTGTAGGCATCCGCAGAAGCGTTCAACGTCCTTTATTCTTCCCTCCTGACGTTTTGTCATGTGACTATATCTGGCGTTTGACGGTGCATGTATTGGCAAGACAAAAATTGCCCATGTGGGGTGGATTCCATCTCTCAACATATACAATAACCAGTGTCTATACTTTCCGTTCATGTAAAACCCTTCCGGTATAGTCATAAGACGGTCGCCACCAAAGATATCATTGAATAGGGGACTATTATCTAAAACGGTAATGTCGTTGTTAGTACCCGCCCGCCCAGAGAACCAATGCAAGCAATAAAAATCTGAATCCACCATAGCTTCGCAACTGATAGTAAACAACTTCCCAGCTTTCGGGTTATGATACTGCCCCTTGAACTCTTTCGGACAGTTCTTCCTGTGCAGGTACATGCATTCTACGTAACCAGTGCAGCCTGAGAACCCCGATGCGCCATATTTACTTTCTATTTCCCGTAGTTCTGGTAAAGTTGGTTGTCTGTTAAGAAGAATGCGCCCATATGTTTGCTTCATTGCCATAAAAAAGGAGCGAAAGTATGTACGCTGTGACTCAACACTCATACGGGCCATGTCGTCCATTTTCTTGAACGACAAGCCCATGACGAGACAGCGAAGGGGTGATAGGATTTTCTGATGCGAAGTATGCCTGTGTTTCCCAGCAGCATCTTTCTTCGGACGAAACACTGCATAATCGCTCACCTGTTCATTATGAAACTGATTATACAGGGAAGGGGAATGCGGTAGATGGAACGAAATTTGGACGGGGGGTAGCGTGAATGTGGGGCCAAGTAGTCTGTGAACCAAGAGCACAGCCCCGCTCGGTCGTCCTGGAATTGCACACGCGTCCGACAAAGCGGTTTGATCCGCGGTGATGGCGTTGAGTAGTGTTTCAATGACGCTGTGCTCATCGTCATCGTCAAATATGTCTGCTATTGTGTCCTCTAGGTCCGAGGAAGACGAAGAACTCATTGCTTGCTACGCTCGGTTTGGTTGCTCACGAAAAACGAGCACAGCACGTCGCCGTCACAGGCCTCGTACTCATGAGCATACTGCCTCTCTGCGTTGACCAATGGGTGTCAAGATTAGCCCTAGCTTAGCCCATGGTCCAACAGCAGGGCACGTATTTAGCACATCGATCAATAGACATGCGCCGATTTAGCACAAGTCAAATTTTGCAATTTGGTCCTTTAACATACATATTTAACAAGCATCGATAGACCTGCTCTTAGTTGTGTTGTGTTTTACAGGCTTTTCGTAGTGTGCTTTGTCCCCAAATATATGCATATGAGCCTCCTTTATATAGTGCCATCCCTCCAATAGTGCCATAGCTAGAGGTATGTCACGCTATAGCACTATATCGTAGGAGGCACTGTACCGTAACGGTTACACTACAACGCAAGTTTTCGGTGCAATCCACCAAGTCTGTTGGATTGGAGCCGAAGAAACCCGGAACCACAAGAAATACAGTATTAATCATGTTAATTAATAAAAATTATAAGTTATGCCAACTCCCTCAGAGGATGGCAACTCCCTCAGGGGCTCTGAGGATGGCAACTCTTCACCATCATCCGGAACTGTAAGCCGAAAAATGTAAAACTTTACGAAAAAGGCGCAAACATTTCGGCGGGAGCCGGAAAAAAAATCCGCAGCTCTCCGCCTATCATACCTCACATTCCCGATGCGCAGACCTACGCCGCCGCCGTCACACTTGTCCCCTCCCCTGCCATCACACCTCCCTGCCCAGTACGCTTCGGCAGAGCCGCCCGTACGCCATGGGCCGCAAGCGGAAAACCCCACCCGACGCCCGCCAGCCCGCCGCCCCGTCAGACGCTGCGCTGCCGAACGGGGGGCCGCCCCGCCGCCCCGCCGACGCGGAAGCCCTGCCCATCAACAAGCACTTCGCCGAGCGTTACCAGACCGCGAAGCGCAAGCAGCTGCTCAGCACGGTCCCGGCCGCCGCGCTCGCGGACGACTCCGCCGACGACTCGTCCTCGGAGGAGGAGGAGGACCACTTTGCAGAGCAGCTCACCAAGGGCATCGACCGCCGCGTCCGAGAGACCCTGCACGCCATTCGCAACAAGGACCCCCGCATTTATGATAGGAATACTTCCTTTTTTGAGGCGGGAGGGGATTCCAGTGCCGAGGGGGAGGAAGGGGAGGATTCAGTGTCGGAGAGCCACTATGATAGCGACGAGGAACCCGTCGCGGGTTGGGAGGCAGTCGCCGAGGGCGCAAAGCTCGAGACTACCAAAATGACCCTCAAGGACTACGTCAGGGAGACCCTGCTCAAGGACGGAAAGCTTGCCGATAGCGATGATGACGATGCAGACGGCGGCAAGGACGAGGGATACCGTCATCCCGATGCTAATCATCACCGCACTGAATCTCCCGATCATCCTGCGCAGAATGGAACCACCAGCTTGCCCGGCCAAACAGACAGCGACGAAGAGTCTGACGCCGACAACTTTTTCAAGAAGAAGGACAAGTCCACCGCGGAGCTGGACGCAGAGCAGCAGGACTTCGACAACTTCCTGCGCAAGCAGTCGCGCAAGACGTCGCAGAAGGCGGGCGAGGAGCTGCTGCTGCACTCGTACCTGGAGAACGAGAAGCCGGATGAGAAGGAGCGCTTCCTGCGCGACTTTGTTCTCAACAACGGCTGGCTGGACAAGAACGCCGCCATCGCCCCGGCGGCGGGCGACTACGAGATCGAGGTCGACACCAACGACCCCGACAGGTCGGACGGCGAGCCCGACGCGGACGACGACTTCGAGGACAAGGCCGAGGACTTCGAGGCGCAGTACAACTTCCGCTTCGAAGATCCGGACGGCGCGCAGGTCGTGTCGCACGCGAGGACCGTGGCCGACTCCATGCGCCGCCCGGATGACAGGCGCAAGAAGGCGCGCGAGGCCCGCAAGCTGAGGAAGCAGCAGGAAAAGCTCGTCAAGACAGAGGAGATTAAGCATCTCAAGAACCTGAAGAGGAAGGAGGTCAAGGCGAGGCTGCTCGCCATCCAGGAAGCCGCGGGCGATGGCGTCGATGTGTCTGGTATTGACTTGGATGCCGATTTCGATCCAGACCAGTTTAACCGGCAGATGGAGAGCAAGTTCGGGGATGAGTACTACTCGCAGAAGGATGAGGATATGAAGCAAATCACGAAGGAGGGCCTCGCTACGGCGACCGAAAAGCGGTTGGAAGCAAAGGAAAGCGAGGAGGTGTCCAAGGACCTGCGGGAGGACGTAAATAGGCTCATGGATGAGTACTACAACCTGGACTACGAAGACATTGTCGCGGGGGTGCCAATGCGTTTCAACTACAAGAAAGTCGACCCCGAGGCATTCAACATGACGGCGGAAGAGGTGTTGAGAATGGAAGACAAGGAGCTGAATCGCATTGTTTCCATGAAGTATCTCGCGCCTTACCGCGCCAACAGGGATATCAAAAAGCAGTCGTGGCGTGTCCACAATGCGTTGAAAATGAAGAGACAGTCACAGCGCATGCATGGAGAGAATGTTAGCAAGCAGTCTGCTTTGCACGAGATTGCGAATTCGAAGGAAGAAGCGGATGGCGCTTCTAAAAAACACGACAATAAGCGAAAGCGAAAGCGGAAACATTCCCACGCTGACGATAGGGAGGATAGAGGGAAGGGGGGGAACGTTTTCGAAGCTCCCGATAGAAACGAAAACACTGTCGCGGGAGAGGAAGGGAAAACTGCCAAGTCTTCGAAAAAGAGAAAGCGGAAGAGGAGAACTCCCGCGGAGACCGTGGATAGTTTGTCATCGAGCAGGAAAAAGGCATACAACATCGACTAGCTTGTGTCACGGTCATCAGTGCTTTTAATTCCGAGGGGCATGCAGTGATGCGCAAGCGTTTTTGTCATCGAGCAGGAAAAAGGCCTACAGCATCGATTAGCTTGTGTCACGGTCATCAGTGCTTTTAATTCCGAGGGGCATGCAGAGATGCGCAAGCATGGGCAGAATCGTCGTGAGGGGACGGAGGCACGGGCGATGATGTGTACATAATTTTACGCGATGCGCATGAGCGGGTAATAAACCGAGGGAGGCAGGATACATTGGTACAAGTAAAGGCGTTTCTAACCGTCATCGCAACGCGGCTAGCGTATCACGATCAGCCGACAACTGTCCAGGCTGTGATGGTGCTGGCAACCCACTTGATGAGCTGCTCAATAGGCTTTTCGCAACCCGCCTCTCTTAGAAGCTCGTGGCCGATGTTATCGTACTCAAACACGTGCTTCTCTTCGCTCTTTATCCTCTCGACAAACTCTTGAATTCCGGTGGGCGACACAATGGGGTCCTGCTTGCCGATGAAAATTGCGACCTTCTTAAAGTTCATCTTATCAGCGTCATCATTAATTTCACTGTATACGCGCAAAAACTCCATGCCCATCTGCACTCTAAGCGCTCCTCTATACAGCAACCCATCCTTCTCCACAGCATCCCGAATAGTGGGATCTGGGGATGGCGGCAGCTTCAACACTGGCAGCTTGGGGACCAAGAACCCAAGCACAGGGCTAATCAGCTTCAAAAAGTGGCCATACGCGCCAAACATATCGTCCGGGGGTTTAACAGCCGGCGAGAAGAGCGCGACAGCGTCCAGTAAGTCCGGGCGCATGGCGACGACTCTGATGGCCGTTGTGCCTCCCATAGAATTGCCCATGAGAAACGTGCTCTTCCCCTTGAGGTCCTCCCGCGCCTTGAAGTGCTCAATGACATCAATACTCGCATCTCTCAAATGATCATGCGAGTCGACGTACGCGTGCAGCCCGGAGCTGCGGCCGTGGCCGGGGTGGTCGTGCGCGACGACGGCGACGTCCAGCGCGAGCAGCTTGTCGACCACGGAGCCGCGCAGCTCCACGCGGTGGTTGTCCGCGTCCGGCGCCAGCCACTCGAACGCCGAGTGGCCCAGGATCCCGTGCATGGCGAAGACCACGGCCTTGGCGGACGCCAGCCCGCACGCGGGCTCCCACTCATACGTCGCCACCGTGTAGCCGTGACGCACAGGCAGCGTGCCTTGCCGGTAACCGCCACGCGCGTCCTGCGCGGACGGTATCGGCTGCTGCAACGCTTGCTCGCGCGTGAGTTTGGGTGGCATAGTGGAGGTGGCGGCGGGGGAGGGGAAGGGCGGGGGGTGGAAGAGGTGCAGTCTTGTGGGGTGGAATTACGAGCTCCGAATACCCTTCGGAAAGGGTAGAGTGCCGGGACTAAGAATATTGAATGGAATAATAAATGTCAGTCACAATTCAGTGATTCCCGTCAACATCTTTGACGAGTTCATGGCATCCACGTAAACCGTCGATGTCAACACCAACACCATGATCTCCACGTCACGACTGCTCGCCGCCTGTCGCGGTCGCATTCCCCCCCTGCACTGCCCCATCTTCGACGATAGGCAGCAGCACGGTCCACCCGCGCCCGAACACCTCCTCAAAATTGCGCCACACGCCCTGATCCTGTGCATGTTTCCTCGCCCTCCACGGCGGAAAGCAGTCTCGAAATCGACCAAACCTGCACACATCCAGCACGGTCCTGCCCATGGCCACCAAGTACAAGTGAAACGTGAGGAGGGCCCCGAGCCCGAAGACCATACAATACTGCAGATAGTACATCTGAAACCAGACGATTTCCCCCACGCTCACCTGCCCCACTCTCAGCACCTTCTTCCCCCTCCCCACCGCCTCGTCGAAGCACGCGACGACGAGCAGCGCGGCCGACACGGCGCCGTAGAACAGCAGCAGCAGGAACGCCTTGCGGTTGTGCGCGCCCACGCACACGCCGAGGACCCCGCAGTGGTGGCTCATGCGCACCGTGCACGCCGCACATCGCGAGCAGTGGTGCGTCCCGTCCGGCTTGGCGCGACCGCACCGGTCGCACCGCGGCGCGCCCGCGTGCCGCGCGTCCGCTAGACGACGCGCACGCCGACGAGGGGAGGAGCGCACCGTCGCGTACGCGGACCAGCTCGCGAGGACCACTAGCGCGTGTATCACAAAGTGCAGACGCGGGTAGACCCGCAGCAGGCTCAGACGCGATAGCGTGTACGAAGCGAAGATCACCCCGCCCAGCGAGACGAGCGTGGCTGTGGTGCGTGCCGTGAGCTCGGGAGGGTTGGCCGGCGGCATTGGGGATGGGACAGACTCGGGGAGAAGGGCGGTAGCCATGGGGAGCGCGGCGGCAGTTTGGCGAGCGTTGGTTGTGCCTACCGTAGATGGAAGGATGTCCGTTGAACCAGCAATGACTCAAATCCTTGATGTGATCTAAATTCAAATTCGCTGAATGCCTCTATCTCCGACCGCATGGCTCTGACCATTAGCGCCTTCTCGAGCCCGACCCTCCCGCCTCGCCCTCCGCGCCGTCCCCGATGCCGCTGCCGTCGCTCTCGTTGGTAGTCGCGTACAGCGTGCGGACGCGCGCCATCGGTCTACTGGGATCGCTGCCGTGGCCGAGCCTGCGGGGAGACCTGTCGCGGCTGGCGGCGCTGACGCGGCGGCACGCCGTCATCATGGGCCGGCACACGTTCGAGTCCGGCGAGGTGGGCGGCGTGCCGCTGCCCGACCGACGCAACATCGTGCTCTCGCGCGACCCCGGCTGGGTCCCGCCGCCCGGGGCGGTGCACGCCCAAGACTGGCGCGAGGCACTGCTGCTGGCGGACGCGGGCTTTGGCGGCTTGGGCTACGATAGCGGAGAGGAGATCGTGGGAGGGGGAGCGGGAGGCGGCGGCATTTTCGTCTTGGGGGGGGAAATGGTGTATCGGAGAGCGCTCAAGGATGAGAGGGTCAGGACTGTGTTTGCGACAGAGGTCGAAGGCGAGTGGAGAGGGGACGCGTTCTTCCCGGCCCTAGGGGAGGAGTGGAGGAGAGTCGAAGATGAAAGATGTCCGAAGGCTTGGCCGGGAGGTGCGGGGGAGGAGAGAGGGATTAGATATCGCTTTGTCACGTTTGAGAGGGTGCTTGTGCCGGAGGTGCACTTTTCGGAAGGCCATCGCCCGACATGGACCTGAGGGTCGGGTGGGGAAAGGGTCTCGTCTTTCCATGTTTTTGTCACTGTATCCTTTAGTAAGTATCGAACCGTACCGAGTCGATGGCGTGCGTCACGACGCCAGAGTCGTTGACAGCACCCACGGCCCGGCTACCGGGCAGGCGCGCTGCGAGCCATTCGCACACGGCCGCGCCGGCGTGCGGGGCCACTATGATGCACAAGCCCATGCCCATGTTGAAGGTGCGATGCATCTCGTAGTCGGACAGGGCCCCGGCGGCCTGAAGCCACTCAAACTCTGGTAGGACGGGGAGCGGGGCGTCGACATAGAATCCCGCGCCCTTCTTGAGGCGCAGCAAGTTGGACAGCCCTCCCCCCGTCACGTGAGCAATGCCGTGCACGTCCTCGTACGCACACGGGCCGTCGCCCTTGCGGCACGCTAGCAACAAGTCTACTACGGGGTCGACGTAAATTCTCGTCGGGTTCAACAACACCTCCCCCAGCGTCACCGCGCCATCTCCGTGCCGCCACACCTCTCCCGCGCGCTCTGAGCCGACCTCGAACGGCGCCGCCTCCCTCAGCGACATACCGGCCTTCTGCACGACCTTTCTCACCAACGAGTAGCCGTTCGAGTGGACGCCGCTCGCCGGCAGGCCGACCAGCACATCCCCCGCGCGTATGGCACTGCCATCCAGTTGGGCCCCCCTGGGAAGCCAGCCGAGCGCGGTGCCGCTGAGGTCGAGCTCCGTGACCATGTCCGGTAGCGTGGCCGTCTCGCCGCCGCACAAGCTGACCCTCGCCAGCTCGCACGCGGTGGCGAGCGATCTGCCGATGGCGGCCCATGTATCCGGGGCCGGGGCCGGGGCGGCAATGTAGTCGACAAAGGCGAGCGGCTCGGCTCCGATGCAGAGCAGGTCGTTGACGTTCATGGCCATGCAGTCGATGGCCACGGTCTCGTAGTAGCGCAGCTCGGCCGCGAGGAGCAGCTTGCTGCCGACGCCGTCCGTGCACAGCGCGAGCAGGCGGTCGCCAAACTCGATGAGGCCGGAGAAGCCGCCCGCATGGTCCACGAGCGCGCCGAGCGTGCCGGCGGGGCGCGACGACGCGCCGCGACCCAGCGCGCCGATGAGAGCCGCGACGCTACTCGACTCGCGGTCGATGTCGACGCCCGAGCTGGCGTAGCTGAGCGGCTTGTCAGGCGGGGTGGCGGCGGACATGGTTGTTCGAGCAGGGAGAAGGGCGGGGGGGAGGCGTGGTGTGACGGAGGGGTTGCGATGGGGCAACGAAAGGGGGGTGCAGAAGGGGGTTGGGGGAAGGAAGGCGAAGGGCATGGTGGCTGGGATGTGTGCCCTGGGGCGGGCGGGATAGGTTTGTGGGTTGCGGGCAGGGCGGGACGGGGGGAAAGTCGAGGGCGATGGGGGAGATTGAGCGGAGCTTGATGCGGGATCAAAGGCGTGCGTGCGGTGTTGGGGCAAAAAATTTAGCACCGACCTCTAGCACCGACCTCTCGCATCGGAATTCTCTCGGACCTGCTCCCTCGGCACGGCGTCCCCCTCGGCGTCCCCCTCAGGCATGGCGCGCAACGTCACGATCAAAAACGCAGCGCAAGTCGCTGCGGCGCGCGCGGCGCGCCCCGCGGTGATGCGTCCGCAGAAGGTGGGCGAGCGGTGGCACATGCCGAAGATGTCCGCGATGGCGATCGCGCGGCGGCGCAAGCAGTACATCCGGAACAACCAGCCGTGGCCATGGGACATCCCGCACAAGATCGTGCACAAGCGCGTGCCGTTCAAGGGGCACCTGCGCGACCTGCGCGCGGTGGAGAAGAGGCAGGAGATCGAGCGCTGCATGAAGCGCATGCCGCAGCTGGTGGCCGCGTACCGGCGCAACAAGACGAAGAAGGAGACGCGCGAGGGGCTGGAGCTCGTGCTCGGCACCACGGAGGAGGAGGCCAGCCGGAACAAGCCCCCGGGTAGGCGGTAGGGCCCGCGGCTAGGAGGCGAAGCGCTCCGTCCAGTCGCGCGCGATCGCGTCGTGCTTGGGGCGATCAGTTAAGTACTCCACCGCGATCGAGCCTACCAGCGGGTCGTGCGGGTTGGGCTCGACTAGCAGCCCGAGGATCGCACCGAGAAGGTTGGACACGGTTAGCGCGGGGCTCCAATTGGACTTGAGAGAGGCCAGACACACCACACCGAGAGAGTTGATGTTGCAGTGATAGATGCGCGTACGGAACGTGATAGTGGGCGGAGTAAAGGGGTAGTCGTTCGGAAACTCGATTGCCAGAAAGAAAACGCCTTGCGGGTGGGTCAGTCGTCTGTCAGAGCTCACGTTTGGCGGTGCAGGAAAGAGTGCGTGTGCGTGCGTGGAGAACGTACCGGATTCGTAAGGGGAGTCGACAGGGCCGAGCACGGTGGCGACCCATTCGTAGATGTTGTCGCCCTTGGGACCGGCCGAGCAGTTAAGGGGAGGGTCGTTCTTAATCTCGTTGAGCTCCTTCTGGATTCTGGGGGCGGCGCAAGAGAAGGCGGGGTGGAACACGCGTCAGCACGGGCTACTACATGTTGCAAGACAATGTTGGGAGTTGTGGCGGGGGTGCGCGTGGCATACCGTCGCGCAGAGTCTTTTAAACTGGCAACGCCCCATTTCGGACCGTCCGAGGCGCCCGCCCCGCTCATCCCTCGGTCCCCGATTTGCTGCGTAACGCAAACTGGGTGAGGGTCTTCGTTTGTCGGGGGCGAGACCGAGTTGCACACCAGTTGGAATGTTAGGAGCTGTCGAAGAGCGTGAGGTGTTGTTTTCTCTGTGCTTACGTTATTTTAATAATCCGTTTTCTTTTGCTTGCTACGGTATCATTGCTCCTTGCCAACGCCTTCTCCCCGCCCCCCCCGCCCCCCGCCCCCTCCCCCTCCCCCTCCCCACCCCAACCCACTGCTTGAGCGACACCTCCTTCCTGCCGCCCCCACCCTTTCCAAAAATGGCCCTCGTCCTCCTCACGGGCTTTCCGGCGAGCGGAAAGACGACCGTCTCCAACGAACTCCGCGACCTGCTGCAAGCCGCCGGCAAGACCGTCCACATCATCCGCGACGGCGAAGACGGAATCGGCCCCGCCCCCTCCGTCCCCTCCGCCGCCCCGCATCGCTCAGACCTCTACCAAGACTCGACAGTCGAAAAGCGGACCCGCGCACGCCTACGCGCGGCGACGGAGCGGCATCTCACGGGCGACGCGGTGGTGCTCGTCGACAGCCTCAACTACATCAAGGGCTTCCGGTACGAGCTGTACTGCGTCGCCAAGACGACGGGGACGCGCTACGCGGTGGTTTTCTGCCAGCAGGACGCGTCCGAGTGCCTGCGGCGCGACGCGCACCGCGCGCAGGCGGGCGAGGACGCGTATGGCCCCGCGCTGTGCGCGGCGCTCACGCGCCGCTACGAGGCGCCGGTGGCGCGCAACCG